TGAAGGTTTAAACCTTTCCCTTAGGTCATAGGTCCCACCTACTGTGCATTTGAATAGCAGGTTTCTCTCACCAAAGGGAACTAGCAGATTTGTGGGTCAGGCAACATGCAAAAGGGAACAGGCAGAAATAATTAGAGCAACTGAATAGGAAGGTGTTGTTACACCCTCTTTACCCAATTTTGGATGAGACAAAATCAGAATAAATCTGACCATACCATTTTCAATAAGGGACATATGAAGGGAAGGAGCACATCAAAGTGAGAGCCTAGGAAGGCAAACGGGTAGAGAAAAATGCATAAGTTTGAGCTAAAGAATCGGGAAAATGGAGAGCAGGTTCATCAAAGAAGCTATAAAAGAGAAAAAGCAAACCCTACTCCTCATGCAAAACCCACTATTCAAATGTACAAAGAATGTAACCTATCACTTACCTCTCCATGAAAAGAGGGGCCAAGCAAACTTCAAAACAGAAAGGAACTTTAATTACAATAGAAAGTAGAATACTTTGGCTACAAATCAGTGGTATGCTGGACACTATAAAGAACTAACATCTTTAGGGGATCTGAGCTACTGTTAAAACAAGTGGTCCTTATGTTAGTAGGGAAAGCAGTTTACTCTAAGAGTACAGAAACACCAACTTCCCAGGAGTTTTCTTCTTTGGAGGGAGGGAGTAAGAAATAGGGCAAACTGAGAGCATTAGACTCCTTTGAGTTTTTCAAGATTACAGTTGAGATTTTCACATGTTATTGGGATAAGACAGTGGTTGGCAAACTCATTAGTCAACAGAGCCAAATATCAACAGTACAATTATTGAAATTTCTTTAGAGAGCCAAACTTTTTAAACTTAAACTTCTTCTAACGCCATTTCTTCAAAATAGTCTCACCCAGGCCGTGGTATTTTTTGAAAGAGCCTCAATCAAGGGGCCAAAGAGCCACATGTGGCTCACGAGCTGCAGTTTGCCAACCACGGGGATAAGCGAACTTACTACTTAAGTTCTCGTATAAAACCAAGATTCTCTTCAACAAAATCAGATAGTCATATAAAAAGGCATGGGGGGTGGTGGGGGGAGGGAGAACTAATAATATATTCTAGAACAAAAAATACTTTCCTATAAAAAAAAAAAGGAATATTTAATAAATTTAACCTCAAATGGTGAGAGGTATAATTTGAATAGATATTTCTTAAATTCTATTTCAATATATCTTTTAATTTAGCTTAGGTGGCTACGTAGTCATAGAGAAGCCATAAGAATACAGTAAGTAAAGAGAAACCATATACTACTTCTAACTTGAAGGATATCTTCTAAAAGCCAAGTACAGCTAGGAAAACGGGTAGGAAAAAAAAAATCTTAAATATATTACTCTAAAATCTACCAGCAGAAATCACTGTGGTTGTAGAAAAACTCACCTCCACTAAATATAAAGCTCTTTTCAAATATGTCAGTTCCCAGACAAGGTCTCGAGTGGTTGGGCATCCAAAAATCAAATCCATAGTACACTGTGTTAGACTTCTGGGGTAAAAAGCCTGATCTGTTTCATTTTTCAATATTTGAACGTGACTAAAGTTAAAATTTGTTTTCTCATTTGTAAAAATTAGACACTCACCAATCCTACATTTACTTTCTAGGTAAAAATGAAAACTATATTTCCCAGACTCCCTTGTACTTTGGACTGAACTAGCCACAAGGCCCTAGCCTATTTGACATGGGCAAAAATAATACATCTACTTCTAAGCTTGGCTCCTAGAATCTCCAGAAAGATCCATAGCCCACTCCCTCTCTCTCGACTTGCCAACTGCCACAGCATCTAACAGAGGACTCTAAGGCAGCAGGACGACAGTGGCCCCACAAGACAAAAGTTTACAATCCCTAAGTCAGTACTGAAGAATAGCTGAATCCTTAAAACACCATTTTGTGAAGGATCTACCTGGAGAGCTGCCCAACCCGATTCCCTAACTTGACCCTAACTCCTCTCTGAGAAAGCTGAGAAACTTTTATTAAACACTGCGATTTCTGAGGCCATAAAACACACCAAATACGTCTCCTCCCCTCTCTATCTCAGAGTGTACAAATCCAAATGAGATAGAAGAAATACAAATATTATCAGGATGAAGTTTTATAACATGGCAAAGATAATACTAATGGAATTCAAGCCAGATTAAAGACTACACCGTTTTTTAAAAAACAAAACAAAAAACTACAGATCTACAGCACCAATAACAAAATATAAACCTTACCTAACAAGAGCCAGAAAACTAGTAATTTTTTTCATATTAAAAATCACCAGGCTGCTAATTTATAAGCAAAAATTGCTTATTTCTTCAAGGTATTTACTTCTTTAGGAAAATGGCAGGCTTACTGATTAAATCAAAATAATAGAGCCAAGTGCCACTTCAAACCCTTCATTCCAAAAGAGAAAGAGGTAGATGAGACATAGACAAAAATTAATTTATAGGATATAAAAAGAGAATCCATAAGGGTGAAAAATACATAAACATTTATTCATAATTTGAAGATATTTACTACTGAAATAAATAGTAAGATGATATATAGAAACTAAAAGAAGTTTCTTCTATCAGACTCAATTAATTGAGTCATGTGCTTAATGCACACATAGGCTAAGGTTAATACACATTTATTCACTGGAATAGCTTTATTAAACAGTTCTATTCAATATGGTAACTCACAAGCCATCCTATACTATTCATAATTTAAAAGTCTTCACAAGCCTCTTCCCTTAAATTCCTTTAAGCATTTTATAGCCAATAAGAATGGCCTCAGGTATTTATTTCATTAACTCGGCAGCATCATATGGTTTAAAATGCAAACTGTCATCTCTAATCAATAAATATTTATATGAGCAATCTACATAAGGAATTTTAGATTTTCTCAATATTGCTTTATAAAATTATCACAAAAGGTTGATAAAACAATAATTATTCCAAAATGGTAAAGTTAATTATCTTATTCAATGGAGTTAGAAAACAACATTTAGCAATTTGTTTTTATAACCCTAAAATTTTCAGAGTTAACATTAAAGAAAGGTAGATGGTCTTAAAAACACAAAACAAAACTGGGAGGAAATGTGACTATAGAAGAAGAGTAACTATCACTAGAAAATTCTGATTGGCACCCTTAGAACCTGATTTGGAATTTGAGAAGCATTAATTAAATTTAATGTTTGCAAAAGTAAATAAATATTAAAAAAATCAACTTCATGTTTATTTTTAAAGGTTGAACTTCTCAAATTAGTGTGTATATTTATGACACATACTTATCAAAAAGTGAAGATTTAAAAATACGTTAGTCTAATATTAACAAAGAGAAGAGAATCAGATTTTAAGTCTTTCAATTTCTCCCTGTGAATGTTTTACAGAAATAAATGAAAAAAGCAAATTATGTACAAACATGGAAGTTGTCTATAGAGTTAAATGGGATAAGACTGCTAAAATCTTTACAGCCAAAAGAGAACTAGAAGTTTCACTGGAGGCTCATCATAAAGTCTAGAAATGTGCAATGTATTTTATCTATTTTATTAATTCAGATTCCATTTATTTAGATTAATAATAATTTGCTCGGCTGATGTTTACTTTTTCATGATTTATGGCAAAGTGTTTTTGCTAAACAAAAAAAAAAGTAAATATGATTACACAAGGCATAACAAGTAACCTTATAGATTAGGGGTGGGGAAGGTCTGTCCCACAGCCCGTATAAGGCCCTTGAAATCATTTGTTCTGGCCCTACTCAAGGCATTAGGAGTGAGTTGATTAAACATCTGATCAAACAGAGCAGGCTAATTTTTAAGTTAAGACCCACAAATTATGTTATAAATATCCAAATGACCCTTGGCAGAAAAAAGGTTCCCCAACCCTGTTATAGATGATTGATTTTTTTCACTTATAAACAGCTTTGATAGATACTTTGAACTTTACTAAAACTTCAGTCATTGTTTGTTTTGCTAATAAAATATATACTTTCAGAGAGCTGATCCCATATTTTACACACACACATCAAAAATTTTTTAAGCAATCTGAATAACATTTTCTATATTTAAACACTAATATGGACAAAGTATAAGCAAACAAAAAAAGAATATAAATAATTAAAACTAAAAAATAAATTCTATGGAGAAAATTTAAGGTTTTTTTGATAGAATGGTTCTGAATTAAAGGTTTACTATTTATTTTGCAGAACACAAAATCATTAGAGCTATCCATTGTTTCCTAATTTCAAAAGTCTAGACAAGAGACTCAATAACAGAATTTGGTTATTTATTGGAAATGAATAATTTAAATAAAATTCTAGTCATGATACCAAAACTATAAACCACCTTTCAAAATTACATAGGATTTTGGCATGTATTTCTGTACGCAAAGTTTTCCTGATTTTGCCACACTATATCTCCTATACTTTTTTACTTTTGATTTTTTTGTTTTATTGTACAAATTTCAGCAAGGCAACTTAGCTCTTTTGTAAAGGAATGAGGATATAGTAAGCTTATAGTGCAGTAGACAAAATTAAATCCTACAAAATTCTTCACCCCCTCGTTGTTAAGTTAAAGTTCAAAATTCTCTGCAATAAAAGAACCCCTAAATCATAGTAAACTCTCAAGTGAGTCACTAATAATAGGTCATGTGGAAATATTTAAGCACTGCAATTTATATTCTCATTCTTTTGTTGACAAACCTGTAAAAAAGGTAACTAGAAAAGTTATGTGGTATTTTCAGTGGCCAGGACAAAAAGGGACCTAGGGTGGGGGAGCGAATGGGGGGAAGGGAAGGTTGAGGTACTGAACTCTTGACCATGACCCTATTACCTGTGTGTTAAACAGATAAACTACTAATATTTCAAGAAAATAAGGATGTTAGATTTTTCTCATAACTTTCCTTTGTCATATTTTTAGAAAATAGAAATTAGCATTTAACTATCTAGGAAGTTAATCAGCCTGGTAAATTAAATAGAGATTTGAAAGTGCTACTCACAGTAAGCCTATATTCGACTCACCTGCCATTACAGAGTAACCATCGAGCAAGAGAATAGTGAGGTATAATCTTCTGCATGAGGCTGGCCATCACCATGGTAACAACCAGCTGTATACCTATTACACCCTGTGTAAAAAAAAATAAAATAAACTTAACAATAATTAAGTTAGATTTGAGAACAAAATGGAAAACTTTCTATCCACTTTGAAAATGATACTCTAAGAAAGAGGAGTTGCTATTAAAATATGTATTATTCTGGCATTTAAGCATTCAAGACCACATATGTTTAAACTTAAAACATGCAATCGCATCTTATAATCCTCTATGAGTTACCCAAGTTTCACATCCAAGTAAACAAAAGTTAAATGAATTAGCATATACATTCAAAATCTATTCCCAAAAAATGTCCTCCATTATGTAAAGGTATCAAAATGAAGTAAAATTTGTAATATCTTATTCTCCAAATTCACTGCTCAATACACATAAAATAGCAGCTTGCCATGCTTTAAAAGCAGTATGCCTATTTTTTTTATTCTACAGTGGTAGTGAACGATTAGAAAGTATTAATTATATTAAGTGTGATATGTCAAGACTGGCTTGAAAGTCACTATGAAAAAATTTTAATTCATGCTGTCATCACAAACTTCCAGTGTGTGGGCCTTTAACAACATCCAAAAACCCCTTAGTGTGGTCTCATCAGTCCTCTCCTGTTCTCCATGACAGCTAAAATTCAAACCTTCTCCTCTCTTCATACCTCCAACCTGCCCTAAACTTCTAACTCCTCAGTCAGCAGAGGACATGTATTTGACAGAGAAAATACACACCATCAGATGTGAAGCCTCACTTGCCACCAGGCTCATAATCACCTGTTTCTATTCTAGATTTTTTTTTCCATACCCAACAGAAATAAGAGCATTCCCACACAAAGCAAATCCCCTACATCTGTGCTTCATATCCCATCCTCTCTTTGATTTTCAAGAACCTCAGCCACTGAATATTAATAGCTTCCTCCCTGCATCTTCTTTAACCTCTTCTCTATTTAAATCCTTGCTATCATATTGGCACTGTAACACCTCTAAGTCTTTTAATCTTTCCAAAAAAATAATAATTTTCCTTTGTAGTCCTCCTGTATCCTCAGATTCATAACCACTTTTCAAAAGACTTATTCTCATTGCTTCTACTTCATTCTCATACGTCCCCATAGTTACTTCATTCCATTCCATTGAAACACCTACCATCAAAATCACTTCACCTTGCCAAATTATATTTCCTTATCTTAAATCTCAGCAATTTCCCACAAGGTCTTCCACATCCATTGCTTTACTCCCACCTGATGATCAATCTTTATACTCCTTTTGGTGGCATCTCTATCCTTGCAGTCCAAAAATAAGGTTGAATTCTTACCTCAAACTTAATTTACCAAACAGGTACATAAAAAATATGTTTAAAAAGCAACAGAATAGTATATTTTGAGAGCATAAATTCTGTACCCAAACTATCTGAGTTAGAATGCATCATCTATTAGTTGTTTGATTTTGAACAGGTAATTTAAACATTTTGTACCAGCTTCCTTTTCTATAAAATGAAGCTAATAATTCAATCTATCTAATCAAGCTGTGAATCCTTTTTGCAATCTGGGACCTCTGGCTCCTAACCACTCATCTGCTTGCCTGCCTAATCATCCCTAACCACTCTGTATGCTAGCCTACTTGCCCCCAACTGCCCCCCCCCCCCCCGCGGGCCTTCTTGCCCCAAACTGTCCTCCCTTGCCAGCCTAATCACCCCCAACTGCCCCCTCCCCCCCCTGCTGGCCTGCTTGCCCTGCTACCATGGCTTTGTCCAGGTCTCCCAGTCTAATTAGTATATTACCCTTTTATTAGTATAGATTTATTAGTATAGATTTTTTTTAACATAAAGAATAAAGTCTTTAAAAAATATCAGTCTATCAAAAATATCTTTAAGAATAGATAGATGATAGATAGATAGATAGATAGATAGATAGATAGATCGATCAATCTGCCTGGGAGAGCTGGGAATGTCTGGTTCAGAGGTGACATTTGAACTAAGCTTACGAGATTAAAGTAGCCCTCTGACAGACAGAAAAGAAAGATATGTTTAGACATATTTACTCAAAGAGAATAAATGACATAATCCCCAAAATAATGAGTGATTCCACCTGGCTAGATTTTAGTTGAGTTCCAACCAATGGACTTTTCTGCAGGTACTTAGAAATAAGTGATAATTAATTTCTCTAACCCTATGTAAGATGTAATATTAGTTATTAACTGGGTTGGGAAAGATTTTCTAGAAATATAATAATCAGAAGCTATATTATTTCTACAGAAAATATATGGTTGCCAGAAGAGGGGTGGGGTGATTAGGGAAATGGGTGAAAAAGGGGAAGGAATTAAGATGTACAAATTTCCAATTCTAAAAATATACACCTGTCATTAATTAATATTGTATGTCAACTGTAATTGAAAAATATTAAAATCATTTTTTTTTAAATCCTGAAGATAAAAAAATTCCAAGATTTAACCACTCATAAAGATTTAAATGAGTTAATATAAGTTGGGCAGATAAATTTTAATCACTAAATAAATGTAGCTATTATTGTTATTATTATTAATTTGTTCTCTCAATGTACATTCAACTAAATGTGCATCAATAATATTCACAAATCCACATATTCAAAATCACAGAACCGTGAGTCAAACTATAGAGGTCATCTAGTTCTAGTTCAAGCAGGCTATTTATTCAAGGCACATATTTGATGTACTATCCAGTTTAAGCAATATGTTTATTGTACTTTTCCCAAAGTCACTTTTAAAGATACGCTTGTATGAGCAGATTGATTTACATAACACCTAAATATTTTTAAAAATAAAACATTATAATCAGACATAAGGATCTTGAGTCTCAATATCCAAGTATCAAAAGCTGAAACTGTTTCAGGTTTTTGTAAATCTTTTGTTTATGGCCAAAACATGAAAGACATTTAATCTATTTTAACAATAAAGTTATTAAGTCTGTTTTATGTAGGTAAAAGATATGAATGTAACATCAGGATATTCTGAGTGAATGAGTTTTATTCTCTCAAGAAATGTAGTAACTTAAAAAACTAAAAATATATGATACAAAAATGCAGATTATTAAATAAAATATAGGCATATAGGCTGGAGGTACACACACACACACACATTTTTTCATATTTGTTCCAATATTACCTTATTCTTGAAGCTTTCTCCAAATGCCTTATTTAGAAGACCATGCTTTATCTTTCTGTTGCATTAACCATGACTAACATATTATGTCTCATGTGATTACCATCAGATAGTCCCAGTGAAACATAAGCCCCATAAAAGAACTGTCTTATAAACAGTTATATTTCTGTTGTCAAAAACAATACCTGACATACAGATGGCATTTAACAAATAATGAATAACTGAAGAAATACTTTTTTAGATAAAAGCACGATTTTTAAATGTTTGCTGAAACAAAAGGGACAAACATTGCAATTTAAAGCAAGAGAATGTTCATTTCCAGAACTGGCAATTTACAGACAAATTTATTTCTTCAAAGTTCCTTTGGGGCAAGTTGTGTTCATTCCTATTTTGTAGCATGGACAAAACCACAGCACAACAGTAAAAAAAAAATAAATTCTCTCTTAGAAATGAACACTTTAGACTATCTTCTGATTTTTCTAAAATTAATTAATTTTGCTTTGAGCTTTTATCTCAGAGCAAATAAAAGAACCAACTTATTTAGAAAGTGGGCCAAAAACCAAAGTATAAACTGGGTCTTAGGAATTAACCCGAATCAACCAAAAACTAACCAAGAGAGCTGTCTCTACTATTAGTTGAACTAAGCCTCTTTTGGAAAGTAGTAAATGAGAGAAGTCAGAGGAAAAGCTAGAGAACTGAGAATAACTCTGAACCTCAGCTACTATGTGATTAACTGATAAAACCTGACCAAAACCCATCCTTCAAAATACACATGTCCATTCACCAAAATAGACTGCATTCTGGACCAAAATCACACCTTAACCAACTTCAAATAAATCATAGAATGTCTTTTCTCAAATCACAATGGAACTAAAGTGTAAATCAGTAACAGTAAGATAACTGGAAATCCCAAAATATGTGGAGATCAAATATTTCTAAATAACCCATGGTTCAAAGAGGAATCTCAAGAAAAATTAAAAATATTTTGAACAAAACAAAAAAACCCTCCATAATTTATCAAAATTTATAGGATGCAGCCCAGTCGGTGTGGGTCAGTGGCTGCACATTGTTCCAGTCACCAGGAGATGGTCAGTTCAATTCCTGGTCAGGGCACTTGCCTGGATTGCAGGCTAAATCCCCAGGAGGCAGCGGATTGATGTTTCTCTCTCTGTCTCTCCCTTCTTCTCTCTGAAATCAATAAAAACATATATTTTTTTAAATTTTTAAAATTTATGGGATGCAGCAAAAGCAGTGCTTAGTGGGAAATTTATAACATTGAACGCATATATTAGAAAACATTTAGAATAAATCACCTAAGTTTCCACGTTAGAGAATTAGTAAAAGAGCAAATTAAATCCAAAGTAAGCAGAAGAAATAATATGAATTAAGAGAAAAATTCAATGAAACTGAAAACAGGACACCTACAGAGAAAAATTAATGAAACCAAAAGCTAGTTTTTCAAAAAGGTCAATGAAATCAATCTATTTGAGTAACTAAGATAAAAAGGAAAGACACAAATTACTAATATCAGAAATGAAAGGAGACATCAGAGATCCCATGGACATCATAAGGAACATAAAGAACAACTCTATGCCCACAAATTTTATAACCTAGGTAAAATGGACCAATTTCTTGAAAGACACAATTTGCCAATAATGACAAAAGAAGTAGACAATCTCAATAGGTCTCTATCTATTAAAGAAATTGAATCAATATCAGTAACCTTCCAATGGGTTCACTGATGAATTCTACCAAACATTTAAGGAAGATATTATACCAATTATCTACAATCTCTTTCAGAGGATAGAAGCAGAGGGAATACTTCTTAACCAATTCTATGAGGCCAGCATTGTTTCCATATCATTTCAATCACTGCAAAAGTTTTCAATTCAATCAAGCTGAATCATAAATAAATGCAATCCTTGTCAACTTCCTTTAATGGCTAAATCCTTTCTTATGAAGGATTTCAAGCATTGACCACAAGTACACATACAGATATTATCAATTTTATATCTGGGAAAGCTTACGTGGAGTTAAGTCATTAATTTAGAAATATAAACAATACCTAAATGTAGAAAGTCAACTACCTGTCTGCTGGAGACATTCTCCAGGTGACATTCTCTTAAGTTACATTTTGAGAAACAGCATGAGTTTGTTTACCTTAGCTTAAAACAAAGCTCCTTTTTTTTTTTTAACATCACAGACTACTGAGAATAAATTCATGTTCAGCTTCCTGTGATTATTATGAATTCAAGGATTTCATTACACTCTTTTAACTTTTAAGACCAAGGACTCAAAATAGCTTAAATTTAAGAAATGATCTGAATTTTGCCCTGACCGGTTTGGTTCAGTGGACAGATTTTCAGCTTGGGGACTGAAGGGTCCCGGGTTCGATTCCAGTCAAGGGCGTGTACCTTGGTTGCAGGCACATCCCCAGCGAGGGGGTGTGCAGGGGCAGCTGATCAATGTTTCTCTCTCATTGATGTTTCTAACTCTCTCTCTCCCTCTCCCTTCCTCTCTGTAAAAAGTCAATAAAACATATTAAAAAAAAAAAGAAAGAAATGATCTGAATTTTAATACAGACTATGCCAATACAGACTATGTTAGTTTAGGTAAGTTGTTGCCTATTTCTAAACCTCAGATTCTTCCTTCTGTAAAATTGGTGGTGGTGGTGGTGGTGGTGGTGGGGAGTAATTATTATCTTGGGCTCTTTCCAGTTTGACTGTTCACTTTCACTAATTTCATTGATAATAAAGAAAAAATAATACTGTATTATTCATTGAGGTTAACACACACAAACACCACACACACACACACACACACACACACACACACACTGCCCAAAAAAGTCAGAAGTTAGTAGTCATAGCATAGTAAAGTGGGCTAGGAACCACAACATTTAGAGTTTCTTTTGTTTCATATTCACTCCAAAAGCCATTCAAGTCAATTATTATATACAATAGCTGAACAATGTCAATATTTAGTCCTGAAAAGGCATGGCAAACTAAAACTAAATTCCCAGAAAGAATCCCTTCCAGACGAGCATTTGAAATCTTTTATGTAGTCAAGAAAATGACAATGTTGAATTTTACTGGACCCCTGTGACATTGGAAAACAGCAAAGGTTAAGAAATTCACTCACCCTTACCCCACCCTTTTGTATTCTGGACATGACTTACTGTAAAGAACCTCTAGTCCCCATAAGACATGGGTAAAGCCAACAGAAGACCCCCCCCCCCTTTTTTTTAAATATATTGATTTTTTACAGAGAGGAAGGGGGAGGGACAGAGAGTCAGAAACATCTATGAGAGAGAATCATGGATCAGCTGCCATCCGCACACCCCTCACTGGGGACGCGCCTGCAACCAACATGTCCTTGACCGGAATCGAACCCGGGACCCTTCAGTCTGAGGCTGACGCTCTATACACTGAGCCAAACCAGTTTCGGCCAGAAGACTCCCTTTTTTACATATGACAAGGCCAGACATAAACCTGCAAATTCACATTCTTTGCTTCGTAAATGACTAGCTGGCCTGCTTGCCCCTGTAGATCAATTGGAATAAAATATTGATTACCCAAATTCTGCTTAAGAACCTTCCCTCAGTTCTCTGAACTTTGGCCCACCCTCAAAAGGAAACAGTATACAACCCCTTGACTCCTTTACAGATAGGCTGATTTGAGGGTAAAGCAATCTCTGATCTACCAGGCCATAAAACCTTTCATCTCACTTCTGCACACCTGGTTCTTTTCAGCCTTGCTTCCTCCTCTCTGTGAAAGAAAAACGCTTCCTGCCTAACTTTGGAAACTCTTGCGGAGTGTAGGCATTCTCCCTATTGTAATAGGCTCTTCCCCTACACCCTTGCAATATTCCTTTCGACTTCAGTCTTTCCTTACTGAGTCCGGATTTTTTTATTTATTTTTTAATTTTATCTGGCACGTTTTCCAATTCCAACAGGGCTGGGTTGGAAAGGTAAGAGCTGACCTTGTCCGTTTCTTTAAGTGACAGGCGTTCATCCTCTACCTGGGGATCCGTAGTGTCCCGCCTGAGATGCTAAGGGCAGGTCTAAGATCTGACGTGTTGGCCCCTGCCCTGCAGCTAAGGAGAGGCCCGAGAAGACTGGCCAGCCAAGGTCAACTCCGGGACCACCTGCAACCACCAACCCACAGGGCAAGGTCAACTCTGGGACCACGCGCCGCAGTCTGGGAATGGGCCCCGGACACTCTGGCTCCTGCTCCTCCGTCCTCCTGGACAGGACTCGCGGTGAGGCGGGGCAGACGGTGTGTTCTCAGGGGCCCAGGCGCTGCCAGGCAGGTGGGTCTTGCCCTGCGGTTCATCCCATGGCTCCCGCCCACTCCATCCTCCGCGGGGCACCGGACCCGCGGCTGCCTTCCCAGGGCCGACCTCCGGGCCCTGCCGTCCCTGCCAGCCCTCCCAGGAGGACTCACCATGACGCCAAGCACGGGTACCGGCCCTGGAGTCACCGCAGCCGTCCAGGACCTTGCCTTCCCAATCCTGCAGCCGGGAACCTCTCCACTCCACGGGGCAGTGGGTCTTCCGGCTCTCCCGGAAGTCCTGCCCGCGCGGGACAGGAAGTCCCGCCCCTCTCCTGAGCGGCGTCGACCCCACGCCACGCAGAGGTGAGGAGACGCCAGAGACGTCCTCCGCAGCCCCTTCCGCGGCGCCGGGGCAGCGGCGGGGGCGGGGCTGACCTTGAGAGCACGCGCGCGGGACGGGGACGGGGGCGGGGCGGGGGCGGGAGGAGGCGCAGGCGCAGGCGCAGACGCAGAGCGGCAGGTGGGTGTGCGGGCGGCTCCCCATTGTGGCGCCTGCCAGGACCCGAGGCAGGTCGGGTGGTTGGCGCGGGAGCGCACCCTTCCTCGGGGAGGGGATGGAGGCGCGGGGTGGGGGATGGGGTAGCAGCCGACCCCAGACCCAGCAGATCGGGCTGAGGCCGCTCAGGAATCAGCTCAGCCACGCCCTTTCTTCTTTGGACCTTCCAGGTTTGGGGCTGGCTCCTTGTGGGGACTGGACGGGTCGGAGGAGACCTGTGCCCCTGTCCTCTTCGCTCCCTGCAGGAGTGGTCCTCCAGCTCTCCCTGTCCTCAGGGCGCTGGCATGGACCTGAGAAGGTGCCTCACGCTTCAGAGGAACCAGCGGAAGCCAGAAGAACATCTACCGACAGCAGAGAAACCAGGAAGAGAATTCTGCCAGTTTAACACATTGCAACATGAACGGTTTCCTTTTGGTTTAAAATAGACATACACATGTAGCATCAGTTCAAAGAAAGTAAAATCTCCTATATGCCTCTTAATTTTGTGTGTGTGCTTTTTTTTTTTCTCTCCCCCAAATTGGTACCCATCGACTCTCTTTTTCTCTTTATTATTATTTTTTAATATTTTATTGATTTTTACAGAGAGGAATTGAGAGGGATAGAGAATTAGAAACATCGATGAGAGAGAAACATCTATCAGCTGCCTCCTGTACACCTCCCACAGGGGATGTGCCTGCAACCAAGGTACGTGCCCTTGACGGGACCCTTCAGTCCGCAGGCCAATGCTCTCTATCCACTGAGTCAATCCGGTTTTGGCTCTTTTTCTCTTTTTCTTTGGCTCTAAGGAAACAGCTTTGGAGGCATGCTTGAAATGGATATACAGAGGACCTTTATTCCGGAAATTAATCTCACAACTTGGAGATCTTGGCTTAAGTCAAGACTGCCTGCAGTTTCATCTATGGGTCTAGTTTTGTCACAAAGCTAGAATTGAGGGAAACTAAGAAGCTGCAGAAGTTAAGGAGGTTGGGTAGGCAGAGGCGGCTATAGATGTTCTATTTCACCCTCATTAAACTACTTGGAAAGCATGGTATCCAAGCTATAAATAAATGGTCAAAAGACCCTGGGAATCAGAGCTCTGAGCCATCCAAACGAAGCATGCACAGGGCAGTTGCTTTAAACTAGAAAGGGGGCCGAAACCGGTTTGGCTCAGTGGTAGAGCGTCAGTCTGCGGACTGAAAGGTCTGGGGTTCGATTCCTGTCAAGGGCATGTACTTTGGTTGCGGGCACATCCCCAGTAGGGGGGGGGGGTGCAAGAAACAGCTGGTCAATGTTTCTCTCTCATCGATGTTTCTAGCTCTCTCCCTTCTCTGTAAAAAATTAATAAAATATATTTAAAAAAATAAATAAACTAGAAAGGGGGCTAGAGATGAGTGTACGGATTGGGTTAGGCCAAGGTTCTGTTTTGTGGGTGGAGAAATAGCATAACAGCAATAGTAAGTACTAACCTTGGGAACAGTTGGGGGCAGGGAGCTGCCAAAATTGTTTGTGAAACTTCTTGCTGAGGAGGGATCCAGTGCTTCCTCGCTTCCTCAAGGGTTCCGCTTTGCTGTGCAGGCCAAGGGCATCTGCAGTGGTGAGTGTGGTAGATAGATTGGAGTCCTCTGCCTGTGAGTCTGGGGAAGCAGCTGCTATCCTTGGGGAAGAAAAGGTGCAGAAGGGGAACGGCTATCAGGCTGTCAGTGATGACACATTTTGTGAAGCCTTACTGTTTCATTTCTGGCACTGGTTCTTACAACTGTCCTAAACCTGGCAGCCTCATTGAGGTGCACAAATCAGTAAAATGGGAATTAATCCCAGGATGGGATCCATTCCTGGTAGAATATACCTTTCACAGTCATTATTATTTTCTTATTATTTTTTTAATAGATTAGGGGTTTTTATGTTTCTTACTTGGGATATAGCAAGTTGATAACCCATGGTTAATATGCTTTAATGCTCTTATTTCTATTTTTTTTAAAGATTACAGTGCATACAGTGTATGCTCTAAGATAGCATTTCTTAGTTTTAAAAAAATATTCTACAGACTATAATGTTTTGTGTGGGTTACATGCCTTGTAGTAAAGGGTTTACTTATTTCCATTACTTAAAGTAGATGAGAATCTTTGACAAAGATATAAAGAAAGGAGAATTATGAAAGGGAAAAAGATGTGGATGACCGAGATTAAAAAGAAATTTGGTAGGTTTGGACAGGGGAGTCAGGAGTCCAATCTTTGATAAAAGATTGTTTATCTTGTTTGCTTACGCCTTTGAAAGGAGGGCTTCCTGAGTGAGAAGTATTCTCAAATACTCCTTAAGAACATTAACAGGCCGAAACCGGTTTATCTCAGTGGTAGAGCATCGGTCTGCGGACTGAAAGGTCCCAGGTTCCCTGATTCTGGTCAAGGGCATGTACCTTGGTTGCAGGCATATCCCCCGTGGGGGGTGTGCAGGAGGCAGCTGGTCGATGTTTTTCTCTCATCAACGTTTCTAGCTCTCTATCTCTCCCTTCTTCTCTGTAAAAAAAAAAAATCAATAAAATATATTTTAAAAAAGAAAAAGAACATTAAGAGAAAGTTACCTTCTCCTCCAACACCCAAACTCATCTGAACACCCACACCTACCTGAACAATTTCAATCATTAAAATTTAACACTTTCCCAAGTCTTGCTCCATAATCTTGGCAAAATGTTTTTCTGATGAGCTCCTCCTTCTAAGAAATTCCACTACTTTTTCTTACCTTAATATATATGATTATTATATGCTTTCTTATACAGTGCTTTTGTAATCTTCCCACAATGTATATTTTCCTAATTAGGCATAAACCTCTAATAAGCTGGAAACTTCTTGTATTATCCATCCCCCCACCCCTTAAAAATACCATTTAAATACTTGTAGCAACAATTAGGTAAAAATTTAAGAACAATCCTAACTGGTTTGGCTCAGTGGATAGAGCATCAGCCTGTGGACTCAAGGGTCCCAGGTTCGATTCCGGTCAAGGGCATGTACCTTGATGGCAAGCGCATCTCCTGTAGGAATTGTGCAGGAGACAGCTGATCGATGTTTCTCTCTCATCAATATTTCTACCTCTCTATCCCTCTCCATTCCTCTCTGTAAAAAAATCAACAAAACATTTTTTTTTTAAATTTAAGAACAAGTAAAGATTGGTCAAATTATATCATTTATATCTAGTGAAATATACTATAGTTTTTTTTAAGCCAATAAACTAGTCTTTCTAATGAAAAATGTTTATTTTCTAAATTAAAAGATCAAGATGCAAATTGTGACCAGTATGATTGCTTTGATGTGGAAAAAAAAAATCCTAAGCATGAAACAAAGAGTGAAAAAGGAAGTAACCAAAGTATATCAATTATCACTTCTAGAATTGCCATTTTATAAGAGGGCAATTTTTAAATTTTTTTATTTATTTAAGAATTGTTAAAGAAGCTTTTTAAAAAAGAATGTATGTCTCGTAACATATGTCTATATTACTCTCATATCCCAATTTGGGACAAGCTACCATGTTCTTCAGAGCATATTGTAACCCTTTAATAATTCAGTAGCATAGCCTTCTAAACCTTTCCTGTTTTACACACTACCATAGTTTTATCTAGGACTATACCATCTATCTGATTAATTGATATAATAACTCCTGCAATTTACACAAATTATGCAATGCCATTTTGAGATTCAAAAGAAATAAATGGATTTATTCATTTCACACCCTTTAACTTATCTCTCTTCTTATGTTTTACTATAAGAAACAAGAAAATACCAGGTGACATCTTTAACATTCTGGCTGGAAATCTCCTTAGCTAGATCACCCAGTTCATTAAGCATATTTTCATCTTTGCACATAATTGCAGGTGACAAATTTGCTACACTGTATGCCCATTCAGTTTCCAGTAAGACTATCCTAATCTGTTAAGACCTCATCTGCAGCCTCTTCAATGTTATCATGCTTCTGCAATTTATTTTAGGCTCTCAAACTCTCTACCACTTTCCTCCACATCCTTCCACCTTCTACCCTCTGCCACTTCCAAAGCCACTCTTACATTGTAGGTTTTTGTTACGTCACCATATAACTTTTAAGTTTCAAAAACTTTATTAACTTCCTATTGCTTTCTAACAAATACAACAGTGGTAAAAATTGCAAGTCCTTGGACATGGATGAATCTCACGATGATAAGCAACAAAGCAATTAACAGAATATTACAGTAGGATTCCTCAAGGGCATGTGCCTTGGTTGCAGGCACATCCCCAGTAGGAGGTGTGCAGAAGGCAACTGATCAATGTTGCTCTCTCTTCGATGTTTCTAGCTCTCTATCCCTTTCCCTTTCTCTCTGTAAAAAAATCAATAATATATATATATTTTTAAAAAAGAACCTGCTATGAAGACAAAAAAAAATATCTTGCTTAAAGGTGGGGACATAAGTAAATCTATAAATTAAAGCAAAGGAATGATAATCACAGAATCAAACTAGTGGGTTTTTTTTTTAGAGGCAGAAGGAAGGGAATCAAATAAAGAAAAAGCCCACAAGGAACGTAAAAGTAGTATAATTAGACATGTTATTTTAGCTGGAACCATTCCAGTTTGCCTAGTTTCCCGGTATAGTAATTGCATTCTTTCACTCTCAAAAGTGTCCCAGTTTGGATAATAAGTTTTACGTTTATTCTTTTTTAAACTTCCCCCCTTTTTAATCTGGATAGAAGACATATGGATTTTCCTTGTCCAGTTCTTCCTTATATCACACAGGCATTTTCCAAATATTAACTTGAAACTATTGTAGACAATATTTAATACTATAATTTAAAACTTTAGTGACAACACAGTAAAAAAAAAAATCTACTCCATATACAGGATAAATGTAAATAGGATTTGAATGAAATTCTCATCTGGGTGGATGTGGAGATAGATAAGATACTATACATCTGCCACTATGTTAAGCTTTTTACAAATATCACTTCATCTTCACAGCAAGATTTTTAGATGGGTATATCTCCATTTTACACATGAAGATCCTGAGGCACAAAAAAGTATCTGCAATTTAGCCAAAGTCACACTGTAAGTGACAGAGCAAAATTTGAACTCAAGCAATGTGACACCAGTCTACATGTTCTTAACCATAATTCCAAAGTACATAATAGACATTCTTAATCTTTTTTATGGCATGGATCCCCTTGGAAGTCTGATAAAGCCTAGAAAGCCCCTTTTTATCATGTTTTAAATGCATGAAATATGCATAAGATTATAAATGAAACCAATTATACTAAAATACAGAAATCAAGATATTCTATAAAAGTGTGCTATACATATTCTTCTTTTTAAATTGTTATACATATGCTTCTTTATTTTTTAGGTATCAAATAAAATATATCAGAGGATTTAATAATATTTTAGTTTTTAAGTGGTAAACATCAATTGTATCATGAGATTTCTATAACTATAGTAATGTGGCAGGAAAATATCTGTGATTGGTGAAAAAGTCAGCAGTACTTCTAACA